GAGAGAGAGAGAGAGAGAGAGAGAGAGAGAGAGAGAGAGAGAGAGAGAATATCTGTGTCTGTCTTGTTATGTCTGGAAAATGCTATTTCCTTAATTATCCATCTTCTCTGGCTCATGGAATCTTTGCATTTCCTTTTCCACGATAGATAATATCTAACTGTTGAGTGGAGGGCTTCGATAAAGAGATTATATTTAGAGCTGAACACCTCAAGGTCTCTCACTTTCTGTGTATTGTTCAATGTGGTCTCTGTGTCATTCACAGTCCATTGCTTGAAGAATCATTTGTTTGATGAGAGCTGAACAACAGTCTGGTCTATGGTTATAGCAATATGTCATTAGAAGTCATTTTATTATAATATTCATTAAGTGGAATAATAGTTGTAGGTATCCTCCTAGGCCATATGACTTAGTCTAAACATAAACAATAGAAATATGGGTTCCATATCATGAGGTTTAACTTAAATCCAATGAAAACAGGATTGGTTAGCCTCCCCTATTTCCACTATTGAAACTATTAGCAATGTATAGTCCATTACTAATGCTTGGCACAGCAGTGTTACATCTGGATAAGATTGTTATCATCTTTATTCCGGAAGCAAATGTGGCACTTTTACAATATGTATGAAAGCTTGCCTGAATGGTGAAATCTCCAGTTTACTGTCATCTAGTAACATGGAATCTATGTTATATGCCATAAGGATGTGGTATCATCATCAATAGTGTTTTACCTTTAGTTGTAGCTCATATCTAACAGCATTAGCAATATCCTGTTGTGATTGACGATGACCTTGGCAAACAGCTCAAAAAGATGTAATTTATTATAGGTACTTGAGACTTTTTAAGCAGCTTAATTTGGAGCATAGTCTCTCCCTTTATAATCATCTTGAATTAAAAATACATGTATATACACATAAAATATATATAAAATATGTATGTATAATCTATTTGTATTACTTACTTACTTAGTCTCTCTATATATACTTCTATAGTTGTAGGTTTTGCTATTGCTTTCCTAATTTCTTTACTATCAGTTATCCCTTGTCAAATTTCTGCCTGTATTCAGTCCTCCCATCAACCATAACTCTTAATCATTCTACTATAATTTCTGATCTATATATTTTCCTGGGAAGATATTCTATTGCTCCCTCTTCCTTCCAGGTTTAGGGGTTTAGTCCATTATCATCTTGGCAGGAAGCATGGTGGTGTCCAGGTCGAACTGATGTTGGAGAAGAATTCTAGAGGTCTATATTCTGAATGGCAGGGAGCAAGAAGAAAGAGACACTGGGCTTGGATTGAGTATTTGAAACCTCAAACCATCTCCATGCCCCAGTGACATACTTCCTCTATTAAGGTCACACATACTTCAAAAAGTTCATATCTCCTAATAGTGTCATTCCCTGGTGACCAAGCAATCAGACAGATGAGTTCATGTGGATCAAGAGCAAATGAAAACTTTCTTAGCTGAAAATTAAGCTTATCTTTGCATATATGTATATATATATATATATATATATGTATCTATGTGTGTGTGTGTGTATGTGTGTATGTGTGGTATGTGATTCAAATTCTAACTCCCCCTAAATACTTTCCTGGTTATTAAGTACATTTCTATGTCCCTTTCCGTCTTCCTTTGTCATTGACATGGGTGGCAGAAATGTCTCTGAGGTTTGGTATCATTTGTATGTGTATTTTCCATTTTTTCTTTGTTATTATGATTACTATATTTTGATTACATTGTTATTATGATTACTAGAGTCTAGACTAGTGCAAATGTAAAACTTGTGTGCATGTTAATATATGTGTGGAGGGTACAGTTCTTCCTGGCTACTGAGACCTTGAAAGCTACACATCCTACTTATGCAGTTACTTCTAACGGTTAAGTATTTTATTTATTTATACTGTTTGTGTGTATGTGTAGATATATACACATGTTCATGTTTCTATTTGTAGAGGCCATGAATTGCTGTTTGATGCAGAGCTGGTCACCTATACCGT